TCTGGGCTGCCCGCTGCCCGCGTGCTCTGTGGCTTTGCTCCCCGTCTCCCTGGTCTGGGGAGACGTGGAGCAAAGCCGCGGAGCACGCGGGCAGCGGACAGCCCAGACGCGCCGCGGCTGTCCCGCTGCCGGCGTCCTCAGAGGCTTTGCTTCCCGTCTCCCTGGTCTGCTGGTCTCTAGCAGACCAGGGAGACGGGCAGCAAACCCCATTCGTAACTGCGGATCCGACATAAGTCGGATCCGCGTAACTCGGGGACTGCCTGTAATAAGGTATAAAATGAGTGGTACAGAGAAGATACATCAGGAGCTTCTGTTCTGTCTCATAATATTCAAGAATACAGGAGCATTTAAGTAAATCAAAAGATATCAGCTTTAAAAAAAATGCAATTAGTATGTGTAACTCACTGAAGGCAAGACTTTGCAAAGATTCAAAGAGTGATCAGGCAGTTATATAGATAACTAGAATATCTAGAGTTCTAAACAGTTATTGTTAACAAAAGAGTATTGGAAGGGAGATAAAATATTATATTTCATAGTTTAAACTTTGCTGTAACTAGTAAGTATTACAGGTTGAACCTCTCTAGTCTGGCACTCTCTGGTCCGGCATCATTTTAGTTTGTTTACAGACATCAGTCCTGGCTCTCAGTACTATTGTACTGTTGTTTAGCTCTAATTTACTCTTAAATGTTTTCTAAGAGCCAAGTAAGCAGTGGAAGTGTTGGTAATGCTGCTAGACAATACCGACCTCCCTTGGTCCAGCAAATTCCCTGGTTCAGCATTGGTCAGGTCCTGAGGGTTGGAACAGAGAGGTTCAACCTGTAGCATGAGAACTTTACAAAAGAAAGTTTGCATACTATAGGGTTTCTTGCACCTTCCTCAAACTACAGCAAGGGCTACTGTCAGGAGACATACCACCAGACTAAATAGTCCACATATTTGTTCCAGTATGGCAACTATATTAAATTCTGGACCAAAACGATTTGACACTCTCCATTTAACAACTGTCAAATTATAATAAAAATGAAGCTTATATCAAATTTCTAGTATTATTTCAGTTGTCGCAAAGACAATCATTTTATATAAAAAACATTCTTAGTTTCACAACAAGCATGATCTTAATATCCATATGACCTGCCACTCAGCTTCAAATCTTAGAAATATCAGTTGCTTCTTTAATGTTTGTATATAATGCCCGAGCCAATCATTTTTCAAGAGCCAGTCAAGCATGATGTAATCACAAAGTACTTTTAATACTGAAAACACAAAAATTAAGCAGAAATATCCATACAGCTCCATAAAAACTAGATTCCAATCTAAATTCAAGTATCATTTTTATTAACTTCAATTATTTCTGCCCCTATTTAAATATTCTTTTAAAAATACTATTCTTAGAGCTTTGCCTGCCTGCCATGCTTGCTCATGAAAACCTGCCCCTCTGGCACAATCTTCTCGCTGTATAGTTACGTATCATCCAAAATTAATACACTTAAAAGGGGAGTGGTTAAGGTAGTATTTTGTCATTTTCAAAAGCATATACCTTATGACTGCATGATCCAATACGCCAAACAAAGACTAGCAGATGTTCACTCTTTTGTTCCCCTAAACTTTGGTTTTGCTGGTATGCTAAACTGATACAGTTCTTCGGCATAACCCAGGATGCATTCCTTAATCAGAACCAAAACTGAGCCAACTAAAGCGATTCATGTTTATGTAATGTATCTGTTGCAATTTGAGATCTATTTATTTAAAGATTTAGCTTCTTATTATAGGGGACACTTCACAAAATGTCAGGATTGATTTGTTTTCACAAATTTTTAGCATATTTTACAATTCTAGATTAAAAACAGTTTACAAACCATTTTATGATTGTGGGCAGGGTTGGAGTAAAATACAGTCACTACCCCCAGCACACATAACAAAGGTCAGATGGAAGGGTAATAACTTACTATTCCATAACATTACCTCCATTTATACAACTCAAAGATTCTGGCCTATTTTGTTCCCATAATACATTGGTTATTGTACTTAATTTACTTTTCACAAACCTCCAACATTTCAGGTTTCTCCCTCCCATATCTGCATTTCCTCTGTATAACAGCATGCATTTTTCCACACAATCTTTTTAATCTCTCTAGATCACGAGGTTTACAGGATCAGTTGGCAAGGCTTCCCCAGTGACAGATCCACATCTAGACTGCCGCACTGTACCAGATCAGCTGATCGTCGGCACAGCACGGCGGCCATGTTTATTTTAATGAAGCGGGGATGATTTAAATCCCCGCTTCATTGACTATGTCAGGTAGCCTAATCTACATGCCTCTGTTGGCAGAGGCATGTAGTCTAGACATACCTTAAGTGGGGAAATAGCAAGAAGGGACAAAATGGAAACAATTTTAAAAAGCAAAAACCAACACAGAAATAGAAAAAGAAAAGAAGATAGATGGAGAAAGGAATAACAAGTGTGCCTGCGCAAGACAAGGCCTAAAAGGGGTTCTGGTATGCTAATCTGCCACAACTGGAAACTCTGACTAATAAGGACTGGTAAAAAATACTCTAGCACTCTCCCTAAAAGCCCTTTTAATCACTTTAAAACATTTGGCTAGCACTAACTCATTATAATTTTTGCTGACAATCTAGATTGTTCTGTGGCAGGAATCTCATCTTAAAACTGGCTAGCACATGGCTGGCTTCCCATCCTTCCCGATGCCCTGCATTATTCAGTAGCTGTTCTTTCATAGCTGCCATTGCTTCTTACTCAGCAACTCATCATTCCTAGAACTTGTGTCAAGGAAAAAGCATTTTCTGCTGTCCAAAAACTCCCTGGTTTGCAGTTTCCTAACACTTTCAGCCTAATGTCAAGATAAAGTTTTCACTGCACTCCTGACAGACAATGCATTAACTCAGTTCCCATTTGAACCAACTGCTCTTGATTTGCCTAGATTCTGTTAACCACTAAGCTGAGTTCTCACGTTTGAAGTGTGTAACTTCAATTTAATTTCTGAATTAAGTATTATTCGCATCCTGTAGCACTATCAGAGCTGTTAAAGAGTTGCCATATTATATCCCCAAAGCATTTTAGTAGTTGGTGAAACAAATAATGAAAACAAACATCTGGTAGACAAAAGAAAAGTTTGATGAACCCATGAAGTTTGACATTAAAATACTGACAAGACATGTCAACACTTTAAATAAAAGATGACCACAAAAAAAAGATGTCTTATTTATTCTACATGCACGAAAGTAGTAATTTGAAAATTCAGGAAGTTGAGAGTTGAGTTTCAGTTTACACTGTCCTTATTTGAGCAAAAGTTTTTCTGCATGCCTTTGCTTATTTAATGCTTCATTTATCTGAGAGTATTTCTATATCCAATAATAGCAGTACAGCTTGCACCACTGTGGCACTTCAGTGTAAACACTATTTACACTGATGGTAGGAGTTCTCTCACTAGTTTAGTTAATCTACCTCCCTGAGAGACGGTAACTAGGTCGACTGAAGATATCTTCCATGAACTTAACATGGTGTTGAACGTGTTAACTCACCGGTGTGGATTTCTCACACCACCAATAATACCAACGTAAGTTCCCAGTATAGACCAGTCCTTAGTAAACACTTTATAACCATTTATCTATAAATAAATTATTCAGAGGGAACATTTTTTTCCCTAATTATTGCAGGTCAGCGCTGGACCCCTGGTTATAATTTTGTCAAATTTAACAGACAAATTTTAGTTTAAAAAGATTCATTATGGAGATGTCAGTAAAGGCTTCTTCTAAACAGGGTACCACGAGTTTTTACCTAAATGATGAATTTTAATTATTCCAATTATTTCTAGTCTCAATTTTTTTCTTGAATTTTCTAGAATCTAACTTTCAGATAACAAAAAGGTATCTCTCTGCAGAGGAGGATACTTAATTCAAGCAAGATGTGCACTTTGTGATTTGTTCAGCCACCGGAGTGTGGGCTAGCTCTGTCCCTGTGTGTCATCCAAAATTATTATATTTGACTTCAGATGAATCACTTGGTAATAAAACCTTTAATCTGTATTTTAGGTGGAAGTATTTTGTGATGGACATGTTAAAAAGCAGGTAATTGGGTAACCATGCAACCACTGAAAATTTCAGTGGTCCCACAATTACATGCACCTACAGCACATGGCAGCAGCCAGCTCCCCAGGAGCTGGTGCATGCCGGGCTTAGCACATACTGGCTCCCACCTGCTGGCACCGCTCCAAGGGAGCCAGCTGATACCCTGGAGCTGGTATATGCCAGGAGCTGGCTTTTAAGCTGCCCCCTGCACTGCTCCTCAGGAGCGGGGCAGGAGCCTGCGTGTAACCATCAACAGTGACTGATAAACCCAGACTTGATATGCCTATTCTATGAAGGGAAAATGTAATGCATCATCAAATTTCTTGAACACACGCTGCAATCAAAACAAGTTTTAATTTAATAATTCCCCATGATCTGTGGAAATTGGTAAGTTATAATTGCAATTACTTGCTCTGATTATTCTGTGTTAGAAATTGATCTCCCCATTTCTTGACTCTCCTGAAAATGTTCGGACTTCACTATAAATAGTTTCAAGTTTAAATCAAACAGTGTTCTTGATTCCCAACAGCCATCTCCATGCCAGGAAAGTAAAAAGCCAGTACAAGATGTTTGGAGTGGTACATAAGCATCAAGAAGAAGCAGCAGCAAGATTTTAAATCAGAATAATGTCACAATTCATGCAATCTAATATCTTTTTGTACACTATTTAACAGTTATAACATCTGAAAGTCCAGCTGCACTAGAATTTACCTATGACTAATAAACTTCAGTACTATTTAGATACAGTTTAACGCAAATGCATTTTAAGATATAACCAATCATCTTTTGAAACTTAACATGACAAGGGCTCAAGGGACTTAAAATTCATGCTACCCCAAACAACACAGCAAAAATTTTAAACACGAGTATAAGGGAAATAAAGACAAGGAAAGTGACCTATTATTTCAACTTACCATGAGAGGTTTTCTAATAAATTTTCTGAAAGGTGGCTTTATGAATCTTATAGATTTTTGGAATCCATCAATTCGAGAGTTCTGTAATTTTGAAAAGCTGCAATCGTGATCGTTCCTGATTGGATACAGAAAATAAAAAAGCAATAACAACTAACCCAGTAATATTTCAAAACCAAGCTATTTTAAACATTTAAATTATATAAAAGTATAAAAGAAATTATACTGGCACACTGAAAATTACTAATGATCCATTTTCACTGTTGAAACCTAAACTAAATGAAATTAATATTGCATACTTGGGACACAGATTAATAAATAGGCAATCTATTGATTCTTTGTGCTTTCTTTAAATCTTCTTCATACAACTGAAAAGCTCTTTACAAACAATTCAGCAATGCATGTGCTTAAGTATTCCTGCCCTCTGCTGGCTGTTACTGTATATGTTAGGTCTTTTAATAATCCTAAGGCTGGAAACTGTCTCAGCCTAATATGGCTAGCCAACATAGTTCTGTTAGTGCTCTTATAAAATAGAGAGGTTTTTTTAGTTCAAGTTGAAGAAGTTGATTTAGTTGGGATTGGTCCTGCTTTGAGCAGGGGGCTGGACTCAATGACCTCCTGAGGTTGCTTCCAGCCCTAGGATTCTAAGTCTGTATTTTTAGAACTCAAGATCACAAGAACTATTCCTCATGCCCCATTTAGTATGCAGTATAACATCCAGCATCTATTTATGTACAATTAATAGGGATTTTCAAAAGTACACAGGGGCATGTCCACATAGTACAACACTACAACAGTGCAGCAGCACTGATGCAGCTATGCCACTGCATCACACCTGGTGAAGAGGCTCTATTCTGACAGAAAAAAGTGCTCACACTGGTATACTAAAACTACCTCCACGAACAGCAGAAGCTATGTTGGTGGAAGAAGCTCTCTCTCAATGCATCACTGTCCACACTAGTGCTCATATCAATGTAACGTATGTCTCTGTTTTAGTCACACCCCTGAGCAACTTAAGTTCTGTTTACATAAGCTATAGTGTATACATATCCTAAATGATTTAGGGATTCAAGTCCTTTTGAAAGTCATCTACTAAAATACTGAATACAACATACTCTTAGCACCCTGGATTAAGAAGGGACAAGAATAAATGCTGAAAATAGAATTTTAAAAATCTGGTTTTGACCAATGTTATGCACATCAGACTACACAATCAAATGATCCTTTCTGGGCTAATAAAATATAAGCCTATAAAAGTCCAGGATAGGAAGAATAACTGTATGAATAATAAAGAATCGTTGGCATTTCAAATCACCAAAAGCAGCAACAAGCACAAAAGAAAACTACATTTCTTCTCTAAATCCAGCACAAAATTATATTTTTTCCTACAAAATTTGCAGAGGTTTCTGATTTCATAATTGCACATTGGTCTCTTATGTACAGTTTAAAGATAAAGTTAAAAAATAATTGCCTGAAGTATAAGACTGGGTTTTATAGTTAGTTTCAAACGCATAAAGGTGTAATGCTGCTTTAAAAAGGCCTTTTATGTACTCTCCTGATAGAAAAACAATAGCTCATTAGCATGAACACGACTAAATAGTCTTCTAAATAAAACCATATAAAATTCATAATTTTTTAAGTTCTGAATTAAAACAGACATTATGCAGTACACAAAAAAATGCTTACTGATAGTACATCCTTCAGTTTCCTTCCTAAACAGACCACCAGAAATACAGTAGTGTCAACATTTGCCTAAAATGATTCACCATAAAAAAGCAGCAGTCACTACAAGCCAAAATTTATTTTTGAGAGTATACAGCTGACCATTTTCCTTTGGCTATTCATTCATTACAATTTGGCAGTTTACCTCACAATTATTCTTTTCTGTGCAAAGAAGTCATCTCTGTATAGTCAGGTTAATTGTAAGGTTAACAAGTGAAGTAGTACAATTGAGTTAAACAGACATTTCTGTGCTGAATGTTCCCTCTAATCAAACAGTGGGAGTCACTCAGTGCAGTAATAAGCTTAACTAAATCTCTCTCAAAAGATCTCAAATATTCTTAGAGCTTCCTGCCTTCACTGAAGGTATCCCAGATGGGGACATCACAAATAGTGGTAGTTACACAGAACAATTTGTTCCAGAGTACTGTCAGTGAACCAAAGAATTCCAAAGGAATTTTACAACAAACAGGAAATGTTAAAAGGTTAAAAAAAAATCTGAATTGAATTCCTTCCTCCTTCCGCCAGCCTGACTAGTAGGGATGGGAGATAGAGTATAACGGAATAGTTGTGTAACTGCATGAAATTCTAGTGGATTATTTAATAGTCCATGAGCGCGGGAGCCAGTGCACTCCTGGCCCCACTCCCAGGCAGCCCCCTGCCACTCCGTGCTCCTGCCTCTGAC